AAAGGTCAAGGATTCACTGTACATGTGAATCTGTGTATGTTGTTGAGAATGTGCACCAGGAGCAGGAGTGTTAGGATTTGACTCCCCTTTTGTTCTTTCTCAGAAGTATGATATTGGGTAAGTAACCAGTACTGGTGTGCAGCAATTCCTCAACTGGAACATATTTCCAGCCATGTCCGTGATCACTCCCACAGTGTGGCTGTGAGGGTAAGAGGTAATACAGATGATAACTGCACCCAACCCTTTCTGGAAGAGCTGTTCTAAGGTACTGTCCACAGGAAGTAAGCTGTCTTAGACAGCCTCTTCTTTACCACTGCTGGATTTTCTTACTTACAACCTAGTCTCGATTGTCTTAAATTAGTAACAATGCTTTAAAATGCTAAAGGTTTTAGTTTTTACTGCGTTTTCTACTTTCATCCTACACCCTTTGCACGGAAACACATCCCTTTCCATTTTTCTTCATAGATTAAAGTCTATTAACACTTCTGCTTCCTTCTGAGAATTTTGTAGGCACCATTTGTTCTTATGTAGGACAATCTAACCCAGTTGAAGAGCCTTTCTTAGCTCTTGTCTCTTTTTTTCATGGTTACATGACATTTTCACCTAGTGTGTTTCTTTCATAGAGTTTAATTTGAGGTCTTTCTTTTGGACATGGTTCAAATGCCAGGAGCTATATATTTGAAAATAATAATAATTGTAATGTGGTCCCTTAAAGCTTATATTGGGTAATTCCCTAGAATATTGATGGAGATCTTACAATAACAAGTAGTTGGTCTTCATTCAAAGAATCACTTCTTGGTGATTCAGATTTAGGCTTTTTCTACTTCTTAGGAGCAATACTGATTAATTATCTTTCATAATCTTGACAGAAGGTTGAAAATGATGAGTGTTATATACTGGACTAGGAAAGGCAATGTCTGCTGTTCATATTTAAAAGGCATTCCTCTGATGAACTACTAAATTCAAATTGATAGCATTTTGGTCGCAAGACTAGCATTTAAATGTGCAGCATTTAAATGTTTATCATTATCATCATTTTCATAATGATAAAGTTTTGAAGAAAATGAGAAAAAGGTGCAATATTAGTTAAGATGTTTAGTTTTCTTTTTTTTTTGACCAGTTTTCTTTGATTGACCTTAGTGCTCATTCACAAAATAATTTGTTGCTTTAGAAAAGTGATGTAATTTTCACAAAATTTAATCTATTTCTTGTTAGGAGAAAGCATGTTGGTGAACCTGTAAATATATCATGCTGCAAACCACTGATGTCTTGTATGCCTCGACCATCTTTAATGTGTGAGGAAGAGATCTATTTTTTTCCCCTCTGCTGATTATCCTTGTGAACAGTTATTCAAGAAATGCCATGGGCATAACTGTACAGACAGAATGCCATAAGCCAGGCAGATGGGATTAGAAGCTTATAAGCTCTTCTTGCTAGTTCCTAGCCTATATTTTTAAGCAAAGTAAGGACTTTATCCAAGAGTAGAAAAGAAAAGTATGTGGTAAGTGGAATGAGAAGTAGAGGAAAAAATGCTTCAGAGAATGAAGACATAGGTAGAAAGATGTGGGATTTGGAATGTTTTTCCTATCGCACAATGGAAGGTTATGGCCACATAAACCTGTAGTCAATTTTAGCATTAGGTAGATGGCTAGGTGCTGTCAAATTTAGATTTTTTTCTACTATATCATTATGCTAAAGCAAAAGTGAGCTTGTGATTTGAGAGCAAATACATACAATGCTGAATGATAAAATCAATGCTGGGAAGGGGGCAAATGAGGACTTTGGGGGGTAGAAAGCAGTGTTGAAAGTTAAAACCAAGCATTTAAAGTCTCTGACTTAAGTAATTGTTGACACTGGGGTATTACAAAGAGGCAGGGTTGAGGTGAGGTTGAATGAAGGCTAAAAAGAAGCTGTAGAGAATTTTCAAATATACTGCATGAATTTTACAGTCATTTATTACTCCAAGACAAATTGCCACCAACTTAGATGCTTAAAACGAACAACCACCTATCATTTCACTGTTCTGTATAACAAGCCTAGCATAATTAGGTGGGTCCTCTCTCTCAAAGACATCTTAAAACTTACATAAAAGTCACACTTAAGAATTTTCATAAAAATTCTCCTGAGAGTTTTGGTGAGAAAACTCTAAGCTCATTTATGTACTACAGAGTTAGTTTGAGGGAATATAAGGATGACTGGAATATTTGTTATCTTGATGTTTAGTTTTTGAGTTATTTGTATATTCTAGATACTCTGGCAAATAGAACTGGCAAAATTTCCTCAATTCTGTAGGCTGCCTCTTCATTTGATTGACCTGAATATGACATGGTAGTTACCATCGTGAACACACAGTGACTATAAATGCCAATATGGATCTGGGGAAAAAGATGAAAGGAAAGCAGGAACATGAGGGGAAAGGAGACAGTAAGGAGTAAGAATGGGTCAGCAGGGTTGTGTATGGGGTAGGTAGTGAGTGACCATAAACATGGTGCCATGTATACAAGTGAAACGTAGTTGGTTGTTTTTTACTCTTTACTCTTTATTTTTTGGGGGCCTGCTACCTGTCTCCCAAATAAATGACACACAGAGTCTTATTCTTTCTTATAAATGTCCAGCCTTAGCTTGATTTGTTTCTTGCCAGTTTTTCTTAAATTATCCTGACTACCTTTTGCCTCTGGGCTTTTTCCTTTTCTTACTTCTGTATATCTTACTTAACGGCTGACTCCTGATGTCCTCCTCTCCTCGTTCTCTTTTTCCCTTCCTTCCTCTTCCCAAATTTCTTCTATTTATTCTCTCTTCCTGCCAGCACCATCTATCCTTTCTCCTGCCTCACTATTGACTGTTTTTTTATTAGACCATCAGGTATTTTAGACAGGCAAATAATCACAGCTTCACAGAGGTAAACAAATGCAATATAAACAGAAGAAACACTTTTACATCAGTAAACAAATGTTCCACTATATAAACAAATGTAACACATCTTAAAATACTATTCGACAACAGAAACACTCAGAAATAAAAATAGGAGAATTTGTCAGTTATAGCAAGGGGCCATCTGCATTTTCAAAAGGCTGCCTACATCCTTCGTTATAAGGGTCCCTCAATTCTACTGTCAGCTATTGGACATTCTGCTTTGCCCATAAGGATTTGCTTTTGCCTCAAAATATAACAAAGTCATGCATATGCATCTTATGAGAACAGAAGATGAACTCCCAATCAAGGGAAGACATTAGAGGTTGGTGAAAGTCACTGGGGTTGAGACTATGTTAGAACTCAGCTTCCTGCACTAGTCATGCTTTGTTAAATATTTTTTCTCTATTGTAGATGAGCTAACAACTTTACCAAGTGCAAACTTTATAGTGGCCCTGTGCAATTTGTTTCTAGATTTGTAACGTTTGCTTTCACACTCTATTTTATGAGTTTTTTTAACTTGTAAATGTGATTTCCCCCATGACTTTATTGAGTTATTTGACTCATGGATATATATTTATTTTATATTTGGCTGCTTAGACTTCTCATTAATTCTAATAATGTCAGCTATTCTCTTGGCTTTGTTGGGAGCATCATCACAGTTTTATAGATAATAATTTTTCTCTTTTTAAATGTTTATATTTTAATTTCTTTATATTTCACTGTCTTGGTCATAAAATCTAGAGAGTTGGAGAGTTGCAATAACATGATTTCCTTGCCTCATACCTGTAGACTTGGGGCTTTCTAATATTTTCATCAATTGTGAGTGCAGACACTGATTTTTCTCACCCATTAAATTAGTTCTGTTGCTATTAATATGTTATCACAATGGGAGCTAGCTGAATTTGCATGTATTACTCACTCGATGCTTTTATGCATCTTATTTGTTTATCTTTATGGGTAATATCTTACCTTACATTCACCTGAGTTTCACTGTAACAATTTATTTAACAATGTTACCCTCATTAAGAAGAACTCTTTATGATCTGGAGTATTTATATGAGGCTTTATAACTAAAATTTGTTATAACTATAGTTTATTTAGTGTAAATCTAGTGAATTCAAGAGAAAAGTCCACAACAGAATAAGAGTAAGCACAGAATTTTTGAAATGTTGACATAATTTAATAAGTTATTGATTATGTGTTTCTGAAATAAAATTAGCATATGGACCAACAACAATATACTTTTTCAGTAGGGACAGATTGTTATGTTCAGTTTTGGATTTATAAAATATTTATAAGAAATATTCAGACATTAATATTTGTTGCAATCTGAGGAAATAAAATGTAACAAATAAAGATAAGATGTATTTACAAATATGAACTAGAGAACAAAAGGATATTGACATTTTTATCAATACAGTAGAAGGAAGAAATGAATAAAAGCAAATATACTAACAGAAACTCAGGTAGTAGAAATAAATAAAATTCCATAGTTATAAAGATGACTTAAAATACTGGAACGCAGTTGCTTAAATATAGCCTCTGCAACCACTGTAACTTTTTAGGGATCTGGCTGTTGTTGCTAGTGGTAGTGTAATAACAGTCAGTTATATGGTTAAATAAGGGCACAGAACATGATAATGCTCAACAAATATCCTCCTTATGTAGTAGCAACTTGTTCTACCAATAGATTTGAGGTAGCTGCCTTAGTGTGTGGGCTTCAGTGTGTGGACATGATCCCTTATAAGGAAGAGCAGGGGTCTCTCTCTCCTTCGGGTGGTGGTCTGCACATCCAGTGTTGCACTGCACCTCCAGGGTCAGAAGACCGCAGTTGCTGTTTACCTTCTTTGCGGGAATGCTCCCCAAATAAATATCTGTTATTCTTTTATTCAGTGTTCGTGGATTTCCTTAACCTGCCCTCAGACTCTTTTTAAGATATAATCCATATTAAGATACCATTGTTTCACCTAATACCAAGAAGAGGAGGAGGAGGAGGAGGAAGCACTACACTGACAAACACTAAACCCTGACATCAATTTCCCGGGTTTATTTTTATTTTATTTTTCTTTCCAGAGAATTTGAACCATGAGAAGGAAAGTGTCATAAAATTATGAGGTGTAACAAACCAAACGACTTCGGTATGTTGGCGTCACTGTCACATAAAATATAAATTGCTTTAGGTAGTGTCAGGGAAAAAGAGTACTAGAGACAAATGAGGAACATTCACACCACTGTTGCACATGTTTTTAAGTGGTTTGGTATTGCAATATGCAGGGTTTACAGTTAGATATAGTCATTGATGATGGCTTTTCTCCCACAATGCATTGAAGTTGTGATCACACAGCTTCTCTGACTGCCTGATTGGTGCCTGCAAAAAAAAAAATAGCAAGGAACATGAAAGTGGGAGGGAGGATAGGGAACAGTGAATGGATATGATATGATATGATATGATATGATATGATATGATCACAGTGCACTGTATATGATACTTTCTTAAATAAAACAACTTGACAATTTCAAAATCATGATGAAAATTTATTCCATCTCTAACAGAAATTACACACGCATAAAATAATTGACAAGTGCTTATGAATAGCATAGTTTGCAAACCTAAAATTAGAGCTACAAATGAGCAGAAATGTCCCACTGTATGCTAATAATTTGTCATTTAGTTTTGGCTATTTTGTGTTTGTATTTTTCTAATATTTAAAGCATTTACATGATAATAGTGAGGTATTCAAAGAGAATTGCAAAGATAGTAGAGGTCTTATCCAGCCTTTATGGGAAAATGTTAGAATAACCGCATAATATCTGCTCCAGTAAACTGTTATTGGTACAATGTGGACACATGGCCTCTGTAACCAGAGCCTATGCACAGATTCATGTAACTACCAAGACGCAAACCTATCCCATCATCACAAAACTTTTCTTGATGCCACTTACTATAGTCCTTACTACATCTCTTCCCTCCACCTTTTTTACTCCCTGACAATCACTAATTTATCATGTAGAGTATGCCTTGTAGAATAAATCACACCATGTGTGGCCTTGAATGACTAGCTTGCTTCATATAAAGTTCTTGAGATACATACAATTCGTTACATTTATCAATAGAGTAATATTGTTGAGTAATATTCTACCATAGTTCAATCATTTACTCATCAAAGGGTTGTTTGGTTGTTTAAGGTAGCTATTAAAAACAAACCTGCTATAACAATTGTGTCAAAGTTTTTGCATGAAGATAAATTTTCATTTGTGTGGGATAAATGTCAGTGAATGTCATTGTTGGGCTACATAGTAGGTATACATTTGGCTTTATTAGTGAAATTAATTATTTTGTCCTCATTTGGATAGGAATAAATAAAAATCACAGAGGCTCCAGCCTGGGATTTGGAAATAAATGGACATTGTGTTAGCTGGCACTACCATTTTCAGTTCTGTGACTTAGCAAATTAGTTTAATTCCACTATGTTTCAGGATGTTTTATTTCACATGGATTTCTCTAACTCTTCTTTTTGTAATTTTAACTTCTATTTCACCAGCTCTATTAAGGTATAATTGGCAAATATTCTTCACACTTAATCTGTACAATCTATTTTCATATATGAATGCATGATGAAGTGAAATCATGATCCTTTATACAGTAGGAAAGTATTCTTCACACAATTAGAAATGAAAAACATAAATCTTAATTTTTAAAGAGAAAACACTTGAGCTTTATAGTTTTCTTGAGTTTATGATCACTATCATATTTGACATCTGTTCTCATTTCTAAACCTGCTTTGTGAAATGTGTGGTTTTGGTGATGGTATACATGACCCTTACCCTAAATGAATAAATGGAAAAAAACTTTTTTTTTAATTAATGGTGTAACAAGTTGTTCTCAATACACAAAGTGAAAAGTTTGCCTGAATGGATATTAGTACTGTGGTGGTTTGAATGAGATATTCTCCATATAGCTTGGAACATTTGAACACTTGGTCCACAGTTGGCAATTCTATTTGGGGTGAAGGGGCTGGGAGGTATAGTCTTGCTAGAGGAAGTGAGTTTTAAGATTAAAAGACCTCTTACCAGTCGAAATCACTCTCTTTGCTTTGTGCTTATGGTTCAAAATACGAGCTCTAGACGTTCTGTTCCAGATGTCAAGCCTTTTGCTTGTTTGTCATGCCTCCCTGCCGTGACAGACCCCTGTTGTTCTGGAACAATGAGCCCAGATAAACTCTTTTGTAAATTGCCTTGGTCAAGGTATCTTACTATAGCAGCACAAAAGTAGTTGATACAGAAGTTATGATTGGCTATTCATGCGAGGAATGTGAGTATTAATTCACATTTGGAGATGAACACACAGTTTGTACTTAATTTTAAACTTTATTATTTTTAGCTCAAAAATGTTCCTTATTTAGCTTACTCAGTGCTGAGATCAGAAGAACTCATCAGTGTGCTTGGTATATACATTCTTTTAATATATGATTTACATTTTATTTTATGAAAACGTTTTATATGAATGAGAAAGCATGATTTGGAATTGTATATATTAAATGGCGAAAGTGTATTTAGGGTGATGAGAATTTTATTTATTGTATTACTTTTGTATTAAAATTCTAGTTTGTATGCATTTGTATACACATAATACATCAGAATATAATATATATCTGACTTTCATTTTATTTTTATAATTATATATATATATATGTGCATCTTTATGTGCCCTGTCTGCACAGGAATGTAGGTACCGGCAGAGGCAGAGGTGTTGGGTCCCTCTGGAGCTGGTTACAGGTAATTGTGAGCTTCCTGACATGGGTACTGAAAATTGAACTCAGGTCCTCTAGGAGAGCTTTACATCTCTAGGAACCATGTTTCTTTCCCCCATCTGAGTTTTAGCAGGTAATTTCACTGTCTTTTAACCTCAAAGTTTTGGAATGACTTTCTTACATTTCTTCCTTGAGATGCATTGAGTTCTCTGCACTTCAGTTAGGTGAGGTCTCAGCATGATAATTGCAGGTGAGCAGCCATCTAGCTCTCTGACAAGTCCTCTCTAATCTTCTTATATCTTTTGGCATACATTGCACAGTGCGTTATTTAATTTGAACCATCCCATCAATATTGCTTACTATCTTGAGTCTTGGCAAGTTCTGGGATAGAAAAGCTGACTCAGTCAGTCCCTGCCCTTCAGCAAGTCACACTGCAGTGCTCAGTCTGTAATACTCTGCTGTTCACCTGACTATCAGTTCACTCACCCACTGCCGTGAGTCTGTCAGTTCCTAAAATTCACATGAGCATTGATGGGCTCAAAGGGAGATAATTATCCATGTTACACATGTTCGTGTGACACAATTGCTCCTTAAAATAGAGTTCCTTCAGCCCCATATTCAGAGCTAATTTCTTAAAAAAAAAAAACCAACAGTGCTAATCTCAGCCATCCTTGTCATCCCTAAAGCAGACTATTAGCAGTGTCTGGTATGACCTGGAATGACAGCATGGGCTAAGATGACATGTAGCTAGGATGAATCAGATTGCCTTCGTGTTGTAGGCTTTTGAAGTAAGTAATGGTGGTCAAACACTCATTTTTGTGGGTGGCTGATCTCAGTCTCCATCAGTTTATAGTGCTGGGTTAGAAAATTCTACCTGAACCACAAGAGATAATTTTGCCTAAATTACAGTCAGAACAAAGGCATTGTGGAAAACACATCTTACTTGTTTTAATATCAAGAGCACTTCTGTTTAGATTTTGCAGTTCTAAGCTGAGAAAAGACAAGGAGACACTGGATCCCAAAATACCATTCTTAAGGATAAAGTAGTTGTCCCTAAATCTTAGAGCAGAGATCAGCTTCCAATATGCTCTTTCCATTCAGGAGTCAAAATTTGCCTTTACAACATCAAATGCTGTATTTGTAACACTTGCCCAATAAGTATCTTAGCTAGTGGACTATTGTCTTGAAAGAATGTCCATTTTGAACTGGCACTTATTTTTATATACTCAGCAATGTGCTTGCACAAAACAAAACGAAATATCCACATTCTTAACATCTCATACAATGATTTACTGCCCCTCAGTACTCAGTATTCTTTGTGTATCAGAACCTCCTGGGAGATTATTTATGTATATGTGTGTCTAAATATAAATATGATACACAATATAACATACCAATAATATAAATAACATATATCTAACATCATATGTAGACATACATACATATATATATATACATACATACACACACACACACACACATATACACACAGACTCTTGGGCTGGGTTCTTCGCTTCTGTAATTTTTTTTAAGATCCAATTTTGATTTCATTGTAGAGGAATGATTGAGAGTAACTGTTTAATACAAGTCAGTTCCAGGAGGCCAGGCAGCAAGTAAGAACAGTATAGAACATCAGCTCTGCTCTCTAGAAAGACCCTGAGCTGGCACCAGGTGGTGCTGTGTGCAAAACTCTAGGCATGCTTCCAGTATCCCCAGCAGATCACAAGGTGCCTGCCTACCAGCTCCACAGAGAGGCAGAGGGTCTCAGCAGAGGGTAAGGTTGATTTGCTTGGAGGAAAATGAGCATAGAGAGATGGGAGCTCCCTCTTTCAAATGTTCACAGGTGCTTTGAGCTGCTTAGTAACTTAAGTCTTACGTTGATTTTATGAAAAAAAAGTTGAATGATAATGATTATGTTCATTGAGTTCTAATGATTTCCTTTGCATTTATTTTTCTAGTTTCTTAGAAATAGATTTAACTTAGTTATAATTAATATATTTGTATATTCATATAACCATTATGTTTAGCAGTGGATATACACAAAGTGCTGATCCAAGAGTATGTTTCTGTGGTTATTGAGACACATGATTAATTCAGCACATTAACAGTGGAACAAGAATAGGCTGAAAGTCATTAAATTTTATTACAAAAAGTGATAAACATCAAATGATAACAATATTTTTCGATTACTTTTTCCAGTGATCCGCAAAAGCTACTGTCAGACTGAACAATAAATTTAACTAGAATAACACTTAAATCTATATGGTGTTTATTCTTTTTCTACTTTCTAATATCTTTTAAGCATTGAACTTGGAGCCTTGAACATGCTGGCAAGCACTCTACTCCGAACTACATGTCCGGGCCTCCTCTCTTTCCACATTCTTTAAATACTTTGTAACTGCTCATCATTCTTGTTTAAAACCATTAGAATTAACACCAGGTATGGAGACACATACCTGAAATCCCAAGACTTGGGAGGCAGAAGCAGAGAATCAGGAGTTGCAGGTCATCCTTTGCTACCTGGCAAATTCCAGGCCAACCCAGACTATAAGAGTCCAAACACAAAACACACAATCAGAATTGGCACAGATATGCTAAAAAGAAAAAATCATCTTAA